TGTAGAGCGCACTAGCGATGGTGGAACTGTCTGATGACAGTGGGCAAGGGTCAACCATTTCCTAGCACTGCATATTGAAACAGCATTAGTTAAGGATTTGCAGTTTCCAAAAATTCATTTTCTTTACCTCGAAATATTGCATAGAGGAAGTCAAAGCGGTGGAGAGTCGAAGCAAGGACGTGCTTCATGTAAATAAGAATGACCTTTCGATTCTGATCAATTTATGATGTACGCATGAAGATCCGGTCAATCAAGATGGTAAAAACGGTGACTATCTTGATTACTAAGTAAGATGCTTATCGAAGTAAGGAAAAGAAGTGAAATGGTACAAGAAGTTGGAACACTCCATGATGACAGCAGTGAATCAATAGACAACATCGCCATAACCTGTTTCTCGAGCGCCGATATCGTAAGAACGATAGCGAGTTGATGAGATAATTGCCGTATTGCGCGATGAACAAATCCGCGAGATATTTTTACTCATTCAGTAACAATCGAAACAGCAGGTGATCAACAACACAAATGTAACTCTCAACAACTTTAACTACTGAGTTTCGCATCTTCGACTTTGAGGTAACTTCAACGAAATAGCGAATCATGTCACGATAACAGGTTAACTAATCATGGCAGGGGTATCAAGGTTTGGTTATTCAGAGAGTGCATGTACAAAATGAGGAGGATGAAACTAACCGAAGAGTATTCTCCTAATCTAAGAGCAAAGATGACCAGCATCGACATATAATTCTTCTGAGACTTCACCGAATAAGTTGTAATGGCAGAAGAGAAGTTGATAGACATAGACAAAGACAGACATAAGCTCTATCAAGATCCTTCTTCCTTTTTGCTTTTCACTAACTGCACGAGATATTTGAAGCGACGGATGCATGCCTTCTTTGTTTTCGTTCCCACTGCAGTCGATATCTGCAGAAATGAAGAGTTAGAACAGTAATATACTGCTATGCTACGTAAAGCGCAATTGAGAATTTGAAGCAGCGAGCAAAATTCGATTTTCGAGCACTATTCGAACAAATGTTATCCAGTTTTATTGCAAGTGAAAAGTGCTGAAGAGGAGTGGAAATGCAGCCATCCCTCCGAATAGCGTTTAACATTCAGCAAAGTTGGCCGAGCGCTTTCATTGTGTCTTAATCTTCAGGTCCTCGCACTTCGCGAACTCAGATAAATAAACTGAATCTCGAACTTTTTCCCACTTCCGCAATCTTAATGGATGGCCAGACATAGGAAGTACCAAGTAAAAAGGCCGCCCTATCCGACCTGTACTAAACCAATAAAACACCTCGGAATTTACCTTCTCCCACCGCTCAGGATCCGAGGCAGGATAGGTTTTGATTGCTTGTTCGAGAAGCTTCTGTTCTGATACTGTCCAGGTATCCTCATCTGGAAGCGATGCTCCTAGCGTATTTTGTGTGGTTGCCGGTAACTTCACGTTCATAGACTGCACCGCTTTGCACTGAAAGATGAAATCTTCACAATATGCTCTTGACGCAGCAAGATGATACCATAATACAGTAGAGAATACAGTATGTAGAAATAACAGTGCTTTTATGGCTAACAAAAAATAAAGAATATCACGATGGCACAAGACCCGGTGTATGAAAAGCGAGAAACCTACTAGAAATGGTCACTAACCTGCTTAATCACTTGCTTCTCATTTTTCGGAGGCATGGACTTGTCTTTGCGATGCTCATTGATGTAATCGGCTATCACATTCCATCTATCAACAGTTCCAGCAGGGTACGTATTCGAAGCCTCAAAGAACGCAAAGCATAACACAGTCACTGGCAAACAAACCTTACCTTTACAAGCAACTGAATCTCATCACTAGTCCAAATCACCGCTGCTTTCTCCTCTTTATGTTTATCCGCACCCTTTGCGTCAACCTTAGCTTCAGCATCATTTTTCCTAGCAGCCTAAAAAGCCGATCAATCTAACCGAACATGGAAGAAGCATAATTCTTACCTCTGCTTCGGAGATCGTGGCAAGTATTTCTTCGCGAACCGACAACTTCTCGATACTATCGCAAAGAGATGACATAGCTTCTACGGGCAAAGATAAGCAAAGCTAGAAATTGAAAAATGAGACAAAGCAAAGCTAGAAATTAAAAAATTAGTGAGTTATCGCAAAGTGGCTCTATGCTTACTCTTTCCACTCGTTCCATCTCAGCGAGTTTCTTTCTGGGATCATCAGTCCAGTGGCCAGCGGATTCAGCCAGCTTCTTGAAACGCCGTCGCTGTGCGGCTGCTGCTTTCTTCGCTGCTTCTTTTTCCTTTCTTTCTCGTTCCTCAAACAATAATTTTAGTGAA